AGGTACTGGCCTGGGCTGGTCTGCGTGTGGGCCATGCGGCCCCGTTGCACGGCTGCAGGGGAGGGAGGGGAGAGAAGAGACGCGGTGACTAGAGGAACTGCTGCCGGGAAAGTAGGGGGTTAGCGGAGAGGTTGTGAGTAGCCGCCTGGCCTCTGGAATCCCTCCTATTCCTGGTTCTGATCCGAGCCCAATCACTTCCCTTTGCCGGGGGGAGGGCGACAAAGTGGGGACCCGGATTGGCTCAGTTCGCTTTGCACATGATTCCTACTGTCCTGCAGTAACCCCGGGGGGGGCGGGGCGGGCGTGCCTCAGTTTCCCATCCGTGACGTGGGAGTCTCCCTCACACACACAACTATGGCTGTTGCTTTCTGTAAACCTGAGCCTGGGAGGGGATAGGACTAAGTGACACCTTTTGCCCAGGATGCTGGACAAAGGCCAGAGTCAGGGAGGGGCTGGTTGCAGGGCTGGCTTGGGGTGTAGAGAGGGGGGTTGGGTGGGGCCCTTGGCTCTGGGCCCCCTCTGGTACTGGCTGCTCCCGGGTGCTGTGCTCACAAGTCTGTGCTACGCTGTATCTCTGCGGACCAATAAACCTTCTGCTCTAGCTGCTGTCTGGGAGTTGGATCTGGCTGCAGGTGGAGGGTGCGGCGCCCGGTAACTCCCCCACACCCAGGGCCGGACCGAGCCATTCTGGCGTCCTGGGCAGACAGTTTAATTGCACCCCGGGTTGGAGGAGGGCACGTGGTGCTGGTGGCAGCAGGACGTCGCTGGCCGGTGCTGCGGGGGTTAACGCGGCCCCCGCCCCGGGCGGCCGCTGCAGAGTGGCAGCTGGGAGCTGCTGCAGCCCGCGATCCGGGAGCCGGGCGCTCCCCATAGGTTGGCGCCCAGGGCAGCTGCCCGGCTAGCCCATGCCTTAATCCGGCCCTGCCCACACCTTGGGAGACACGGAGACTTGCAATGCAGTGTCTCCGCATCAATAACAATCAAAATGGGGCTGCCCTAGGAGAGGGGGCAAATTGCTTCTCCGCACTCTGCCGCTGTTTTCCTTGCTCACCCTTTGACCCTCTTGCCTATTTAGATTATTATCTCTTTCGGGTACAGGCGTCTAGTGGGGACTCCCATCCTGGCTGAGGCCTCTACTCTAATACGAATAAATAAAGAAGAATCACGCGGTTGCGGGGGAATTAAGTGGGCTTGAATGATAAGAGCGACTAGGGGAGGGAGATGAGAAACCAATGACATTTAGACCAGAGCTGGCTGGAAAACAAGGCCAGGGACTCGGACCTTGGTCTCCCACATCTCCGATGAGCGTACTTCTCACCAGGCCAACTACGGAATTTTCCGTCTGTTTCCCCTCCCTGTCCACCAACATAAGAACACAGGGGAAAGGCCAAAAAAGAGCAAAGTAAAGGAACAGGCTGGGCAGAGAAGGGGGCAGGGAGAAGGAAGACTTCCACACAGTGTGCAGTGGTGGCAGGGAGAAGGAAAACTTCCACACAGTGTGCAGCGGTGGTCAAAAAGGCAAATAGGATGTTAGGAATTATTAGGAAAGGGATAGAAAATAAGACACAGAGTATCTTACTGCCCCTGTATAAAACTATGGTACGCCCACATCTTTTCCACTGTGTACAGATGTGGTCTGCTCCCCTCAAAAAAGATATTTTGGCCTTGGAAAGGGTTCAGAAAAGGGCAACTAACATGATTAGGGGTTTGGAACGGGTCCCATATGAAGAGAGGCTAATGCGACTGGGACTTTTCAGTTTAGAAAAGAGGAGACTAAGAGGGGATATGAGAGAGGTCTATAAAATCATGAGTGGTGTGGAGAGGGTGAATCAAGAAAAGTTATTTATTAGTTCCCATAATAGAAGAACTAGAGGACACCAAATGAAGTTAATGGGTAGCAGGTTTAAAACTAATATAAGAAAGTTCTTCTTCACACAGCGAATAGTCAACCTGTGGAACTCCTTGCCAGAGGAGACTGTGAAGGCTAGGGCTATAAGGCTATGTCTACACTGGCACGATCTTGTGCCAGACCTATGCAAATGAGTCTAAGCGTGGAATATCGCCGAGCCTCATTTGCATATCTAATGAGCCGCCATTTTTGCAGAAGAGGCTCTTCGGCAAGAAGGAGCTGTCTACACTGCCCCTTCTTGCGCAAAAAAACCCCTCTTGCACAGTGCTGTTACGCTGAGTATTTTCAGGCATAACAGCACTGCGCAAGAGGGCTTTTCTTGCGCAAGAAGGGGCAGAGTAGACAGCTCCTTCTTGCGCAAGAGCCTCTTCCGCAAAATGGCGGCTCATTAGATACGCAAATGAGGCTCGGCGATATTCCACGCTTAGCCTCATTTGCATAGGTCTGGCGCAAGATCATGCCAGTGTAGACATAGCCTAACAGAGTTTAAAGAGAAGCTAGATAATTTCATGGAGGTTAGGTCCATAAAAGGCTATTAGCCAGGGGATAGAAATGGTGTCCCTGGCCTCTGTTTGTCAGAGGCTGGAGATGGATGGCACGAGAAAAATCGCTTGATCATTGTCTTCGGTCCCTCCCCGTGGGGCACCTGGTGCTGGCCACTGTCGGCAGACAGGATACTGGGCTAGATGGACCTTTGGTCTGACCCAGTGCGGCCGTTCTTATGTTCTTATGAAGGAGAATGATATTTCGGTTTCCATCTACTACGGACCAACTAAAGCTTCCTAAAAAGTGAAACTAAATCATCTCAGATGCATCCAGGGTCTCTGTTCTCCAAAACGTTCCCTGCTTTGTAGCTGTTGGGTTGGTCAAGGCACTGTGCCGAGTTTCCGTCCCTCCTCCCTTGGTGATTCCCGGTGCAAATCGTTCCCACCAACTCGCTTTAGTTTAGGAGTCGGGTTGGAGGCCAAGCTGGGAGTTCGGTTCGGGCGGGCAGCCTGTAGCTTGCAGGGCAGGCAGTACCCAGATGGCTGAAACCCTGTAAACTCTGACTCCGGGTCCTACAAGCTTCGCAATGCCTCTGGCGTACGTGGCGTGAGATTTCTGCTACTTCTAAAACCCTGGTGCCCTGGAAGGGAGAAGATTTCACCAGGCCAGGCCTCCAATCAAAAGAGAACAGAGAGGAGGAGGAATCGGCCCATTAAAAGCAACGAATCAATTGTATGAGTCTGGAGGGAACAAAGAAAGGAAGGTCACAGAGATGGTGAGAACCACTGTGGGGGGGAGGGGAGGAAAGACGGAGGAGGTGGATGGATTTATATCTGGTTTAGATGGTGTTAAATTGATAAGGGCTGTAACCTCTCCTGCTTCAGGGCATAAGCTAGCTACTCCCTGATGGGGTCAGGAAGGAATTTCCTCCAGGAGTAGGTTATTCCACTGATATCCACTAGGGGGTGTCCTCGGAGGCGTCTGGCCCTAGACTTTCCAGACAGGACACCAGACCAGAGGGACCCTGGAATTCGGAGTTTTTCAAGACTATGGAGCATGCGCCGCCCCCGCTGCGGGGATCTGCAGGTGCCGTTGTCATAAATGTGGCCATTGATCTGAGTTTCGGGCCCCCCCGTAATCTAGCATTCCCTGCAGCTGCCCTGAGGAAAATAGAAAGGGCCGAGTCTACTCACAGCAGTGTGACCTGCATGGACTTCCATGGAGTCTCTCTAGACCGGCCTCAGCCTATGGGGAGAGCCGGGGCCAGACTGGATGTGAATTAGAAAAGCAAAACTTGTCTGATTAGGGACATGGGTGCTGCCAGACTGCATCAGACCCGAGGTCCATCTAACCTGGAGCCGCCGTGCCCAGCACCAGCTCCTTTCGAGGAAGATATGGGACCATGGAGAAGTGGAAATATTTCTCCCCATGAAGTTCTCATCCGGATTCTTACTAGAGCTTGGTTTAAAGCCTGGGGTTTAGTCATTATCATCTCTAGGAAGCTGTTTAGAAAGCACTTTTTCATGCATGGGTCTCAAAACGCGTTACAAAGGAGGAGCTATAGCATTATTCCCATTTGACAGCTGGGGAAACAGAGGCACAGAGCAAGGCAGTGACTTGCCCAAGGTCAGCCACCAGGCCGGTTTCAGGGCTAGGAACAGAGCCCGGTCTTGTGGAGGGCCCTGTCTCCCCATACACATTTCAACCTCGGGTTCTCCACTGCCGTGCACCGTGGGTGGTTTCACACTGGCATTGCGCTAGTGTAAATGAATGCACAAAGGGTAGGGCAAATGACGAATCAGGCTCCTTCTCCAGGCGGAGGAAAAAATCTAAGAACTAAGCTGATTCAGACTGAAAGAACTTTTGCAATTAAATTTTCACCATTGATCCTGTTTTATTCTCTGGCATGTCTCCCAGCTCCCTATACCATGATGGGAGGCAACGGGGTGGGGGGAGACAGAGACACACAGAGACAGAAATCTGGCTAATGGAACAAATTTCCTGGGGAGATCAATCAAATCCAGAGACTGTCTTAGCACTGCCTCTTCACACTTCTAACACAAATACCTCCTCTGTTCCAGAGCCCCCCTGCAGACACCCATCTACCCCCTAATACAGACACCTAGTCTGTCCCTGAATCCCAATGCAGACCAGCCTGAACCCTGTCTACACTCAGACACCTGCAAACCAAAACAAAAAGAGGACATTTATTCATGTTATTACATCTAAAAACCCCCCAACATTCTAAAAGCAACCTGTCTTAAACAGTTTTAACTACCCGCCCCCAAAAAGCACCAGAAACTCCATGGAATCCAGTAGGGGATTTTGCTGTTTCTCTAGATTTTAAACGGAAGATTCCCAAAAACTGCAGTGATGGATGGCACAGTATAAAACCCTAAGCAAGATAGAGTGACCCTGGTCAATTTATCTTTCTTTGTTGTCTGCACTGCAGGGCTTAACTCGAAATAAGCTACGCAAATTGAGTTACGCCAATTACATATCTTATTTTGAAATAGATTATTTCTAAATAGGAGCATCTATAAAGCCCTTATTTTGACATAAAGCACTCTTCCTCCCACTTCCCTTACTCCT